CGCCACTGGCGCCCTGTGCTCTTCACAGATGAAAGCAGGTTCACACTGAGCACGTGACAGACTTGACAGGGTCTGGAGACGCCGTGGAGAACGTTCTGTTGCCTGCAACATCCTCCAGCATGACCGGTTTGGCGGTGGGTCAGTTATGGTGTGGGGTGGCATTTCTTTGGGGGGCCGCACAGCCCTCCATGTGCTCGCCAGAGGTAGCCTGACTGCCATTAGGTACCGAGATGAGATCCTCAGACCCCTTGTGAGACCATATGCTGGTGCGGTTGGCCCTGGGTTCCTCCTAATGCAAGACAATGCTAGACCTCATGTGGCTGGAGTGTGTCAGCAGTTCCTGCAAGAGGAAGGCATTGATGCTATGGACTGGCCTGCCCGTTCCCCAGACCTGAATCAAATTGAGCACATCTGGGACATCATGTCTCGCTCCATCCACCAACGCCACGTTGCACCACAGATTGTCCAGGAGTTGGCGGATGTTTTAGTCCAGGTCTGGGAGGAGATCCCTCAGGAGACCATCCACCACCTCATCAGGAGCATGCCCAGGCATGGTAGGGAGGTCATACAGGCACGTGGAGGCCACACACACTACTGAGCCTCATTTTGACTTGTTTTAAGGACATTACATCAACGTTGGATCAGCCTGTAGTGTGGTTTTCCACTTGAATTTTGAGGGTGACTACAAATCCAGACCTCCATGGGTTGATAAATTTGATTTCCATTGATAATTTTTGTGTGATTTTGTTGTCAGCACATTCAACTATGTAAAGAAAAAAGTATTTAATAAGATTATTTCATTCATTCAGATCTAGGATGTGTTGTTTAAGTGTTCCCTTTATTTTTTGGAGCAGTGTATAACACTTTGGTGGGGAGAGGTCAGGGCCTAGACCATATAAACGGAAAATAAACCACACTTTTAACATTTTTCTATAGATAATGTGCTTGTGTACACCACATACTCCATATATACCCGTGTAGCTCAGTTGGTAGAGCATGGCGCTTGCAACGCCAGGGTTGTGGGTTCGATTCCCACGGGGGGGCCAGTATGAAAAATGTATGCACTCGCTAACTGTAAGTCGCTCTGGATAAGAGCGTCTGCTAAAATGTAAATATACAGCAGTATGTGGACACCCCTTCATATTAGTGAATTTACAAAAAAGTGAGGGGTGTACTCACTTTTGTGAGATACTGTATATACAGCAGAACTGAAGATCACTGACATCACGATTTGACCTTGTTTTTGTCCAAGTTTCCAGTTGTCTTCAAAGCACCATTATGTTCCATTATGTTCACATGCTAGTCGGATATACAGCGGTATGTGGACACCCCTTTAAATTAGTGTATTCGGCTATTTCAGCCACACCAATAGCCATGCAATCTCCATAGACAAACATTGGCAGTAGAATGGCCTTAATGAAGAGCTCTGTGACTTTCAACGTTGGCACCGTCATGGGATGCCACCTTTCCAACAAGTTAGCCCTACATGTGAGATTTATGTTTTGTTTTAAATATGCCATGTAAAAAAAAATAAAAAAATAAACATGTTTCGTTTCTGGAACACATTTCAAAGCAATAAATGCATTGGGAAAAAAACTAAATGTTCTGAGTACATTTGTCATGATGAAAATGTTTTGTATGGGGGATATGAGATTTATATACTGTATGTTATTAAAATATATTATCATACATTTTAAAAATGTATGTCACGTTTATATATGTATTTTAAATATATGATCATATATTTTAAAATATATGTCACGTTCTTTGATGTATAAGGCCGTATGGCCATGTATTACCTTTCCGTATGGGGAGAGCGAGACTGTGCCATTACGGCGCTAACGGCAGAACTCTCTCTCGTCAGAACATGCTTCTCCTCGGTCCAAAATGGTCGACTCAAGGAGTTCAGTTTACTCGCCACGGTCGTCACTACATGTAAGCACCAACGTCAGAGATTGGAGAGAAAGCAACAACTAATGCCACGTTCAAGTGCTAGTCGGAACTCGTATTTTCTGATTTGCTAACTAGTTGAAAGCGGAATGTGTATATGTGTATAACTACAACTAGTTAGCAAATCGGAAATGCCTATGTTTCGTACTTCCGACTAGCATGTGAATATAATGGTGCTTTGAAGACAACTGGAAACTCGGACAAAAACAAGGTCAAATCGTGATGTCAGTGATCTTCAGTTCTGAAAGTTGGAGTTCTAGATAGATGCCCGATTTACCCTACTTGGAGCGTTTTGTTTTTCTTGGATTTCCCAGTTGTCTTGAATGCACTGAAGTCGGAGGTCGGAGATTTCCCGAGTTCCGATTTCCCAGTTGATTTGAACGTGGCAATATATCCCCTCTGACTCACTGGCACCCCCGCCTCCTACCGCTCCTCCACATCCTCCTCTCTGTGAGAGGATCTGAGAGGAGCTGCAGTGTGTATTGGCCACTGCGGTGCTTCAGAATGGCGGAGGGGGGCGGCAGGTGCAGTGGATACGCGATGCTCAACGGGGACCGCGGGGGATGGACCGACTAATCACCCTGCCGCTCATTCTGTCAGCATCAGGACCACAGCCAGACAGATCTGGATTTATAATTCTATTTTCAGGAAATATTAGACTGCAATAAACTTCACCACTACGAGATGGAGATGTAAGGGGAAATATATGGAAAACCTTACCTTTTTAGGCTAATTTAGTAAATTGTTAAATCTGTCTTGAAGACTCGTGTTCCATAGGGTGCTTGTAATATTTGCTGCGAGTGAGGCGAGACACGTCGGGAGTCTGCCATCATTGAAATGCGTAAAAACGACCCTTTAACCAAGTCAGCTATGCTTCTTATTTTGACATATTAGTGTGTGAATGCGTTGGGCTGTGGAGATATTAGTGCGCAAAATCCCAGGATGCTTCTATTGGTGCTTTTGTCGCCGCTGCGTGACGGTGTCTGTCGGTGTGTGTTCAGAGCCCGGATCGGTTCCATACCGTCTCACAACACTACGGCAGCCTGCGTGCCTCAAAGCTAAAACAATAACGGGATAACGGGACACAGCACCGGGCTGCCACCTTGCACTCTACCGTCTGGAGAAAGACAATATAACATAAAGGAGCGGATTCCCTCACTATAGAAAATACGCCATCTTATCAAACGGTTTACACCTCCACAAGTCGACAAATTGGGGTTATTCGAGCATATGGAGAGAGAGAGAGGATAAATTATTATTTCCTCAAGGCTTCTTCTTCTTCTACTCCATCCCTGCAGCACAAGACAAGCAAGAAGAAGAAGTGTGGAGGCAGGGAATGCTGCAATCTACTGACTGGGTATGACACTACAAAACAATATATCAACCATTAAGACAGTAAGGAGAAGGCTGCTGCATCCTGACAGTCTTAAGAGAGCAGAGGAGTGGAGGCTACTGGCTAGGTGATGTGGGGCAGCTAAATGAAGATCATCAGTGATTTCTCCTGCTCTGAAGACTTCAGATGAAACTGGGGTGAGCTGAACCCATGAGGACCGCTTACAGTGCAGTGGTTTCAGTCTCAGAGACAGAGAGTGAGAGAGACAGAGTGAGAGAGACAGAGGGAGAGGGATACTGAGCGATAGACAGAGGGAGGGAGAGAGAGAGGGAGAGAGAGAGGGAGAGAGAGGGGGGAGAGAGAGAGGGAGAGAGAGAGGGAGAGACAGAGGGAGAGACATAGAGTGAGAGAGACAGAGTGAGAGAGACAGAGAGGGAGAGAGAGAGGGAGAGACAGAGAGTGAGAGAGACAGAGTGAGAGAGAGGGAGAGACAGAGGGAGAGACAGAGGGAGAGAGAGACAGAATGAGAACAGAATTTAGAACTCCACACATGCACCCAGAGGAGACACTCCAACCTGCTAAGCTTAAGCTACTCGGCTACCGCAGGGTGAGTGTTTTTACTGATCTTTATTTGTCCTTTCGGTATCCAACCCCTCCTCCTTCTCCTCCTTTCCTTTTTGGCATTTTTCTTGGAATGGATGACACAGAGAAAGAAGAGCTCCCGGAACTCTTTTCCAACAGAGGATTGCAGAGGACGTTGTTGACCTTCTACTCTTTGTGAGATAAACTGTCATATAATATAACTCAGGAATATAAAGCTAGACTGAGAAATCATCACTTATCTACTGATCAGTGACAGAACAGACAAAACTGCCAAGCTCTTTTTCCTTCTTATTTTGAATAGGCAGGGGATATAGCTCAGTTGGTAGAGCATGGCATTTGCAACGCCAGGGTTGTGGGTTCGATAAAATAATGTATGCACTAACTGTAAGTCGCTCTGGATAAGAGCGTCTGCTAAAATGACTAAAATGTAAATGTAAAAATGAATAGATGTAGATTCAAAGTTGATCCTATTCAAGAAGTGTTCTAAACGGACCAGGAAGGATAAATTGAAAGAGTTGAGACCTCTTCCATGACCTCATACATCCTCTTCCTGTCCTGTTGAACTATAGAACCTGAGATAGAAAGATGTCTATCTCTTTGAACAGGGCCTCATCTCTCAGTCTCTACCATCGGTTCATCTCAACTCTTCTGCTTCTTTGGATATAACTCAGTAATTTGTAGACAATCTGACTTGGTGACATTGTCTCATATGATTTCAGAAGATGGACTCTGACCCCTTCGCGATCACCTGACCTGATTGGACCAACCTGGATGTTCGAGGCGCCAACCGACTTCTCTGGCAGGGCAAAACCAGGAACTATAACATCTTGATCCACTAGAAGGACCTTTTTAAAGTCGCCCCTCTCCCCCCCACGTCCTTCCGGTGGGGGGGAGGGCATAGCAGTGAGCCTATCACAGCTCTGGATTGGTCCATTTGTTAGCCAGTTAGCCTATCACAGCTCAAGACTGGTCCCATTTGTTAGCCAGTTAGCCTATCACAGCTCAGGACTGGTCCTTCATTAACCAAAGCCTATCACATCTCAGGACTGGTTCCTTCGTTAGCCTGTTAGCCTATCACCTGTGAGATTACTGAGACCAGGACCAGACCAGCAGCATGGAGGCTAGACAGGGCCATGGCCAGGGCAGCCCAGAGAGCCCTAACCGGGCCGTGGAATACCTCCTGGAGCTCAACAACATCATAGAGAGCCAGCAGAAGCTCCTGGAGACCCAGAGGCACCGTATCGATGAGCTGGAGGTCCAGTTAGACCGGCTGGCCCAGGAGAATAAAGACCTACGCTTGGATCGCCAGCGACCTTTACCCCCTGAACCACCACCCTGCCCCCCGCCACCACCCGCCACCAAAACCAACACGGCCATACCCTCCGTACCAGTCCGCCCTGTTCAGACCCAGTCTTCTAATCGTACCAGTACCAACTCTACAGCCAAACCTGCCCCCACAGCCCCTGCCCCCCCACCCCCGGTGCCTGTACGGGATCAACACAAACCTCAAACCCCCAAGACCCCACGCCGTACCCCCCACACGCCCCAAACCCCCAAACGTACCCCGGTCACCACCCAGACCCCCCACACGCCCCAAACCCCCAAACGTACCCCGGTCACCACCCAGACACCCCGCACACCGCAGACCCCCAAACGTACCCCGGTCACCACCCAGACCCCCCGCACACCGCAGACCCCCAAACGTACCCCGGTCACCACCCAGACCCCCCGCACACCGCAGACCCCCAAACGTACCCCGGTCACCACCCAGACCCCCCGCACACCGCAGACCCCCAAACGTACCCCCCCGGACACGCGGCTGACGCGGACCATCTCGACCGGGACGGGGACCAGCTTCGTGGAGATGGAGAAGGAGAGACTGGACAGGATGGAGGAAGAGAGGACAGAGAGACTTCGCAGCTCCACCTTGGGGAACCCCACCGGCCATCACCACGGCCACAGACAGTAAGTCATTACCTTACCTTTTAGCGTGTGTTACCCTTTTAGACCACAAACTCCGCCGCTAAACAGTTAGCATGGGGGAGTTTCTCAATATGCATACTACCGCGCGCCGCACTCCCATGCTCTTGAGCACATTGTTATTATGACAAGAGTGTGGAGAACGCACACGTTTTCACATTTAAGAAGAACTGCACAGTCCCAATCCTACTGCATTACCCTTTGACCTTTTAGAGTAAATTGCATCATCAACATGTTGGCTGCTCATCTACGCTGGACTTTGCAGGATCACGACTACCCTCTGTTAACTAATGTTAGCTATATGTCAAACATTTTGTAGATCTGATTTAGTTTAATGTTGCATTATTGTCATTAAAGCAATTGAGACTGTTAATCAGGTAGTGTTTTGTATTATTTAGCTGCATTTAAATTTGATTAACAAAAGTAGCTAGCTAGCTAGCTAACTTTAGTAGTAGCTAAGATAGCTATCTTTAGCAAGAGACGACTTGTGTTCACATTATATGCATTAGCAACATATTTAACATAACGTTAACATGGAACATTACTAGCATAGATAATGACACTACTTTTCTACTAGCAAAAGATAACCTGCTAGTGCAGTAGTTATAGGTTATCCCTCGTCGTGATCCATGGTTATTTAGCAAGCTGCTGCCCAAGTTAAATGGCTAGCTAAGATATCCTCCCTCATCATAATCCATGGCTACATGGGCTACTACACAGCCTGCAAGGACTCTGTCAACCCTGGGGGAAACATGCCAATATAACCTGGTACCAGCTACACTACGAATAAACATCCAGACGATACACAGACCCGACAGCCAGGAGGAGACCCATCCGGAGGTGGCCAGCTAGGAGGATACCCATCCGGAGGAGGCCAGCTAGGAGGATACCCATCCGGAGGAGGCCAGCTAGGAGGATACCCATCCGGAGGAGGCCAGCTAGGAGGATACCCATCCGGAGGAGGCCAGCTAGGAGGATACCCATCCGGAGGAGGCCAGCTAGGAGGATACCCATCCGGAGGAGGCCAGCTAGGAGGATACCCATCCGGAGGAGGCCAGCTAGGTGGCGGCAGCGGGAGGAAGCAATGAGAGGTGGCGCTATCTGTCAGTGTCTGTGGGTCTTCGCAATGACTACATGTGATCAATTGTACTTTGCTGATATTGTCACGCGGTCAGCACTGGTCGCCATCCTCTTTGTCAGATGTTCTTTTTTTGAAGTGAGAGGGCGGGAGTCGGGAGACGAGAGATGTGCGTGCCTCACAGTCACCTCAGCACCATTATTCCCTGTAACATTACTGCCTTAATCTGCTGCCAGCCAGCCAAGCTAATGACAATACAAGATAACTACATAAACAAACATTTAATTATCAGCTAGCTATATGGAATCATCATAATCTAGCTAGCTAGCTAGTTTAACAGGCAAAAACGACCTAAAATGAATGTATGCAATGTATTCTTCGTGGCTAGCTAACTATAGCTACCAATTCATCGTGGCTAGATAGCCAGTTAACTGTATTGACTTACTATGGGGTTGTGATCTACGCACACTACAGTGGGTATTGTAGGCAGGTAAACATGCCACAATTAGCACATAATTTATTTATTAACGTATCAAGATGAAATATTGTAGTCAGGCAACATATGAGATGTGAATGGGCAACATTTAATTCCGAAGACAGTTTATTTTCTCTCGCTTCAGCCCAAATAATGTCTGCCAATGATTTCAATTATTTTTTTGTCGTTTTTTTTTACGTGGTTGCATCTTATTTCTGTCCATACTTTTCTTCGAAGCTTGCATCGATGCATGCTTCGAAATGTGTACAGGCAGAGTGAGTACCCATCCGAGAAGTGCCCTCCGTGCTCTGTTTCGCATACTTTCATTTGGGACTCATACGCCGACTGATGCGTGCTCCAATTTCCGTGCTCTGAGCATGGTAGTAATGCATATCGAGAAACACACATGGTGTTCAATCTACATGGCAAACAAACCAACACATAACTTCAGGTTTAAAGTACTGTATACATGATTATGGTTGCTTATCAGGCTGCAAAGACCATCTAACGCTGAAAAGGGCTCTCAAACATGGTGCTCTAACTAACCAATAATACATGATTGAAAGTCTGAAACCAAAAGATGCTGTCTGTCTGTACAATGGTGATGCTGGTGCAGGTTGGGTGCTGCTGTTGGTGTGTGGGGGAGTTACGAGGAAGAGAGGCCCTGCATACCTGCAATTGAAACACACTTCACTTCTTCAATAGGAGAAACCCCTCTGTAAATATCCTTTGTTTGCTCGGATAGAAGGAGTGCTCCCCTCCTCTGCTGGGAGGTAATTTAATGTCTTCCATAAAACATGGTAAAATATGATAGTGTGATCCCCACATTCTGTCTCCTACTGGTCTCTGATCTGGTTCTGTATAGCGGACACTGGCCTTGTTACTGTGGGCTGACACGCCAGCTGATTGGATGATAACAGGAGAATTCTAGGCTATTCCAGATATAGTGCACTACTTTTGACCAGGTCCCACAGGGGTCTGGCAAATTGCTTGTTAGACAAATATTTTCTCGATCCCAATCATTATCTTTGGTGAAACCTTTATATTCTAGAACGTTTTTTTTTCTTCCCAGAAGCATTCATAGGTGGAGATAATCTTACAACACCCTTAAAGGAAAGATTCACCCATTTTGAATGTTATGTTGTTTTTGAGCATCTCTGAGTGATGTTCTATCGATTCCCAGGGTGATTTCATGTTCGTGTGTATCATGTACTCTTGCCGTTAATGCAGGCGGAAACACAGCCGGTATCGCGTAGCCGCTCTCACTACTCTGGAAGTTAATAGGAATATGACTTTTTAGATTGCAAAAACAGCTATCATACAGATTTCAATACTGGCCAATCGCGCATTCCACATTGAAAACAAACAAACGTGGGCCACCGCTGCTAAATTAATATAGGGGAAACACTGCTCTCTCTGTCTGTCTGTCAAATGTGAGATCAGAACATTAACCCCCACATTGTGTATGTGATCCACCCAAACTAAACTAACACTTTTCAAAGTTTTGATAAACTAACACCCCAAGAATGTTGGGTCCCTAACACCATGGTTGTTGCAAATTCCGACTTAAATTAACACTATATTAGAGCTGATTCTGTTAGACTTTCTCGGTGTTAGGGAATGAACACCGATGTTATTTTAACACTGTATAGTGTGTAAAGGCTTATTTGCATATTGATTTCCCAGGGTGCCTTTCGAGGGAATTTTCGAGGTACCAGTAACACCCATGACTGTTTGCTAGAGTTAGGTTCTGAACAAAACAGAGTAAAAGCTCACATACAACTAGAAAAAGCTCAAACCAAGTTTATTCACCCACTGGGTCAAACAGCTGCAAAGACAAAAGACATGTTTACACAAGCACATATATTTATAACCTCCTACTAGGCGGAGTCAACTCCTTGCACATCTAGACAGCCAATACAACCCTGTTGCTAGTCAGTAACTTAATTGTTTCCTCTCACTGGTGTAGTCATAATCCGCGACTGTCCTACCTTATCAGTGACTGAAGCCAGACTGTTGCCCTTTGCCTCCCTCCTCAGGAGCCATGAGATTTAACAATAACATGTTTAACAGAATGTACACTTTCTGCACTCCCCCTTGTCTCACTCAGTAACTTTCCATACACCTAGTTCTTATCCACCCTCCATTGACCCCAACATGAATAAGTACAGTTGAAGTCGGAAGTTTACATACACCTTAGCCAAATACATTTTAACTCAGTTTTTCACAATTCCTGACATTTAATCCTAGTAAGAATTCCCTGTCTTAGGTCAGTTAGGATCACCACTTTATTTTAAGAATGTGAAATGTCAGAATAATAGTAGAGAGAATGATTTATTTCAGCTTTTATTTCTTTCATCACATTCCCAGTGGGTCAGAAGTTTACATACACTCAATTAGTATTTGGTTGTTTAACTTGGGTCAAACGTTTCGGGTAGCCTTCCACAAGCTTCTCACAATAAGTTGGGTGAATTTTGGCCCATTCCTCCTGACAGAGCTGGTGTAACTGAATCAGGTTTGTAGGCCTCCTTGCTCACACACGCTTTTTCAGTTCTGCTCACATATTTTCAATAGGATTGAGGTCAGGGCTTTGTGATGGCCACTCCAATACCTTGACTTTGTTGTCCTTAAACCATTTTGCCACAACTTTAGAAGTATGCTTGGGGTCATTGTCCATTTGGAAGACCCATTTGCAACCAAGCTTTAACTTCCTGACTGATGTCTTGAGATGTTGCTTCAATATATCCACATCATTTTCCTTCCTCATGATGCCATCTATTTTGTGAAGTGCAACAGTCCCTCCTGCAGCAAAGCACCCCCACAGCATGATGCTGCCACCCCCGTGCTTCATGGTTGGGATGGTGTTCTTCGGCTTGCAAAGTTGTGGAGAAGTACAGATCAGGGTTGGGTTATAAAGAAATATCCGAAACTTTGAGCATCCCATGGAGCACCTTTAAATCCATTATTAAAAAATGGAAAGAATATGGCACCACAGCAAACCTGCCAAGAGAGGGCCGTCCACCAAACCTCATGGACCAGGCAAGGAGGGCATTAATCAGAGAGGCAACAAAGAGACCAGAGATAACCCTGAAGGAGCTGCAAAGCTCCAAAGCGGAGATTGGAGTATCTGTCCATTGGACCACTTTAAGCCGTACACTCCAAAGAGCTGGGCTTTACGGACGAATGGCCAGAAAAAAGTCATTGCTTAAAGGAAAAAATAAACAAACACGTTTGGTGTTCGCCAAAAGGCATGTGGGAGACTCCCCAAACATGTGGAAGAAGGTACTCTGGTCAGATGAGACTAAAATTGAGCTTTTTGGCCATCAAGGAAAATGCTATGTCTGGGGCAAACCCAACACCTCTCATCACCCCGAGAACACCATCCCCACAGTGAAGCATGGTGGTGGCACCATCATGCTGTGGGGATGTTTTTCATCGGCAGGGACTGGGAAACTGGTCAGAATTGAAGGAATATGGATGGCGCTAAATACAGGGAAATTCTTGAGAGAAACCTGTTTCAGTCTTCCAGAGATTTGAGACTGGGATGGAGGTTCACCTTCCAGCAGAACAATGACCCTAAGCATACTGCTAAAGCAACACTCGAGTGGTTTAAGGGGAAACATTTAAATGTCTTGGAATGGCCTAGTCAATGCCCAGACCTCAATCCAATTGAGAATCTGTGGTATGACTTAAAGATTGCTGTACACCAGCGGAACCCATCCAACTTGAAGGAGCTGGAGCAGTTTTGCCTTGAAGAATGTGCAAAACTCCCAGTGGCTAGATGTGCCAAGCTTATAGAGACATAACCCAAGAGACTTGCAGCTGTAATTGCTGCAAAAGGTGGCTCTACAAAGTATTGACTTTGGGGGGGGGGGGGGGGGTGAATAGTTATGCACGCTCAAGTTTTCTGTTTCTTTGTCTTATTTCTTAATTGTTTCACAATAAAACATATTTTGCATTTTCAAAGTGGTAGGCATGTTGTGTAAATCAAATGATACAAACTCCAAAAAAATCTATTTTAATTCCAGGTTGTAAGGCAACAAAATAGGAAAAATTCCAAGGGGGGGGGGGGGGTGAATACTTTCACAAGCCACTGTATACAGTGATAAGAGTGGGGATTGGAACCAGGTGTGTGTAATGATGACGAGACGAGTCCGGGGTTGATGAGTGAAGGGCGTTTGTTCCTTCAATAGCACGAGTGACTACAGATGCAGTTTCTGAACATTGTTACATCATCATCCTCACTCATGTATGGATATGTGTATATATGTAATTATATATGAAATACATTGTTAAGGGTAAGAAAACACACTTCGGTGTTTTTTTTGTATGTATCCTAACGAGGGGGGTATCTAGCGGGAGAGATGAGCAATGTTATATAGCGCTCTCAAAGATGATCTATCTCACTCGCTCTAAAGAGAAGAGACTCTTACTCGATATATCTCTATCTATCTATCTCTATATCTCTCTCTCTGGTCTCTCTCTCTATCTCTCTCTCTCTCTCTCTCTCTCTCTCTCTCTCACGCTCTCTTTCT